TTGCCAGGCAGGCACTGTGATGCTGAGCTAAATCCCCAGACCCCAAAATTTTGGACATTAATTGGAATCTAGAGTTAATATTGGGTCTCAAGCCAGGAATGGTGGTGCAAAACCCATAATCCCAGCACTGTGGAGGCTGAGGAAGGGTTTGAGCCCAGCCTGGGCAGTTTAGTGAGGTCCTCTCTCAAAGCCTTGGGGTGTAGCCCAGACCCATGGAAACAGGGAGTACAGTTTCTTGGGGTACATAAGTCCTCTCCTCTGGGTTTACCAGCTTTGTTGTCAAGCATACTGTGTTGGGATATATTTAGGAAAAAGAGTAACAGACAGTTTTAAAGTATCTTTTTTAGCTTTTGCTGTCAGAGACATGATACCCAACCCACAACTTCAACTTTGAGGAGGCTTAATTTGCTCGTGGTTTCAGGGGAGTCAGTCCGTGGTCGGATGGCCCCAAGGCAGGAACTTCTTGCGCAGGGGTGTGGAGGTGCAAAGCTGCTTAGTTCATGGTGGCAAGGAAGCAAAGTAGGGAACAGCACCATGCACAATGCCCAAGGCTGCGCCTGAGTGACCCAGGCAGACACTCAGGAGCATGCTCTACTCATCTGCAAGGTGCTTCTTCATCCAGGAAAGCTGACGTCAGGATTGATGGTCACAGCATCTAAAGAATGAGATTTAAGTTTTAAAATACATGTAACTACAGGTGCTGTATCTATTAGAGAGAAACACCATCGTGATTACTTTATTCCAAGAACTTTATCAACTGAGTTGGTTGTCATAGTAATTAAAGGAATGTTATAGTGAACTCCACTTTAAAAAATTCTTCAGCTTGGCGTGCTATCACAGGCCTGTCATCCCAATATTCTGGGAGAACTTATCAAAGCAAGCAAGCAACAAATTCCCATTTTGTGTCTATCACGTTTTTCTTTTGCAGTACACATTCTGAGTTCCCTCATTTTACTCAATAGTAAATATTCTCTCTCTCTCTTTTTTTTTTTTTTTTTTTTTGGTCTTTTTGACACAGGGTCTCACTATGCAGTTCAGGCTGGCCTGGAGCTCACTTTGTAGCCCAGGCTGGTCTCGAACTCACAGCGTTCCTCCTGCCTCAGCCTCCCGAGTGCTGGGATTACAGGCTTGCGCCACCACGCCCGGCATAAATATTCTCTTTCAAGTGGAAAAATGCATGAGAAGGACTGACTTCTCATGTTTTCTGTTGTTATTTTAGGTCAAGACCTTGTATGACTGAGCCTGACGATCTGTTCAGATTCTCCTCCGAAGTGAGACTTTCCAAAGGACCAATGACTCTGTTTCTTGAGCCCTTGGAGTTCTTCCTACTCTGTAGCTATGTCTCGATCTCGCCACACAAGACCGTCCAGATTAGTCAGGAAGGAAGACATAAACAAAAAGAAGAACAGCCGAGTGAAGAAGACCCACAAGCCAGCAGCCAGCAAAAATGTGACACTGGTCAAGCCTGCCAGCCCTGGGAAGCTAAAGCAATTTATTCAAGAAAGAGATGGTAAGAAAAAAACGGAACCCAAACCTCTGGTGCCAGCCAGAAGCCTTCTGACCCGAGCTGGGGCAGCCCGCCTGAATCTGGATCGCACTGAGGTTCTGTTCCAGAACCCGGAGTCCCTAACTTGCAATGGCTTCACGATGGCTCTGCGCAGCACCTCTCTCAGCAGGCGGCTCTCCCAGCCCCCAGTGGTCGCCGCCAAACCCAAGAAAGTCCCACCTTCCAGAAGTTCACAAAAGCAGCGTGAGCGTGACCGTAAGGTCCTTGCTGATGTGGGAGTGAGCCATTCGGAAAACGACCCAGCCCCAAATCCCGAGCCGCCTGTCCCCCTCGATACAGAGGATCTCCTCCGCGTACAAAATGCGTCTTTAGTTAAAGGTGAGAGTCCAGAGACCGCGCAGCCTCGGTCTCAAACTCTAGAGGAACCCCAAACCAGTGTCCCCGCCCCCAGAACCCCAGCCGCCGAGACCCTGCCTGAGCCGCCAGAAAGGCCGCCCTGTGGGCCCGGACTTGTCTGCGAGCAGAGCGCGAAGGACAGCAGCGCGGCCTCGAGTGCGCCGGCCCCGGACCCTCCGCGTGCGCCTCTGTGCCGAAGGGCCGCCGCC